ATAACAGCACATGTACAACGTTTCGACAAGGTTTTTATGAAACGTTGTACATGTGCTGTTATGTTAAACTTATATTAAAGTTTTTCTTCATTACCCATTCAAGCCGTCTCCAGCCATTATTAGTCTCAAAGTGGGTTCCTCGTCATCGAACTCAAGTGTATGCTTACATTTTTGTTTCTCTTAGATATTAACATCATAAACCGCTGTTTAAAGGGCTAAACTAACAAGAAAAAGAAATTACCCCAAAATTACCTAAATGATCAGAAAGAGTGTTTGATATTTTAAAACTTAAACGTCACCTTATACGGGCTAAGGTTCAAATATAGCTATCTTTATTTATAGCTAATGATAAAAAAAACAACCAGTCCTATTTCGTTATTGCGAACCAAATAGTGGATTGACTGTCATCGATATAATGCGTACTCACCAGCTTAATGTTCGAATTTTACACCTTTCGATGCCCCCCAGTGGCACAGCGGTATGTCTGCGGACTTATACCACTAAAAACCGGGTTTCGATATCCGTGGTGAACAGAACACAGATAACCCTTTGTGCAGCTTTGTGCTTAATAACAAACAACAACAACACCTCTCGACCTACGGCCCGACACATTAACCCCTAGGCCATAAGTAGCGAGGTAATGTAAGGAAAAAGAGACTGGTGGAAAACCTTAAATGGAAATGAATCAAAATGCAAACTAGAAGTCTTGTGACTTAATGAATTAATTGAGGTTAAACCACCAATGAAGCGGATTGTGACTACACATTACTTATCTTGGCAACGTTGTTAAATACCCATCACACCCCAGATCATATGTTAGTCTTAGAAGGGAATATATTAATCTCAAACACAAAAAAAAATATTTTTTTTTTAAACTAGTTAGGTTTAAAAATGGGACAATGTGTTTCTTTACAGCACTACTATCGAATAACCATGTGCCACAGACCCACGAAATAAACTTTTAATCGAATATTATTACACGTTAAAACTTTACATGAATAATAATAACGCTTATAGCCTGATATGAAACTATTAGTACAGTAACATAGATTTTACTGACACGCCCATCTCATTCTCTTTCACTACAGAAAGGTAAATGAAGCTATCCAGCTTTACAATTAGTTTGATGTCATGAAGAAACTTAATGACATTTTAGCAACCTTTCCTATCATCGATTCATCTGGTTCGACAAGAGTTGCGCATGACAGAAATTGATTAGTATTCAAAAGTACAGCTCCGCGCAAGCAGTAGCTGTAGTGATTATGGACTTGTTCTGTTTATAATGTCCTCACAATGAATGGGACATTTATATGTCTTATATGGAAATCAAGGATATGACGGTAATTTCTACACAAAAAATTAATTGCTTGAAGGCTTTCAATGTTAAGAGCGTAACACTAATTGTGTGTGGCGTATTGCAACCTTGAAAAGTTTGACTTTAAATGTCAGACGCTGACCAAAGCTCTTCAGTGTTGCGAGCAGCTTTATCCATCACAATAATGATGAATTTAGGTGCTCACAACGTTAAAAGACCATCATCTAAGAGCAGCAGTTTCGAACAATATCAGCTATATATTTAAAACCTGAATAGCTTTAACCCGTTTTTCGGAATGAAAAATATATATAAAGTTGCGTGTACGTCATTTTATAACATCTGCTAATGTCAAAGACGTCCATTTTACAGAAACTACTCTGATATTCTTCAAATATCAGCTTTACGTCCCTCTACCTATACTTTGTAATGATAGGTTTTTGGGCGTTAGGGTTGTTTGTTTGAATTTCGCGCAAAGCTACACGAGGGCTATCTGCGCTAGCCGTCCCTAATTTAGCAGTGTAAGACTAGTGTAATAATAATCACAGTGAGGGTATGTCAAACGTAACCAATGAGATGCTATTTTTTTCGTTTCACGAGAATTTACTGCAAGAGAAATAGGTAATTGATTTGTACTTGAAATAAATATTTTTTTGTGAAATAATAAATATACAATCTCAGGAATAAGCTTTTATGTTTAACCAATTAATTGAATAACATATAAACAGGTTGAAGCCCTACTCTCACCCTGAAGTTTGATTTCTAGTTTTCATTTATCTCTCTTAAACATGAGAAGCTATTTGCTTTTGGCTTATTTGGTTAAACATGTTTTCATACGATACCGCACATGATTATATATATATATATATATTTACTCAGACTATACTATGCAATATTAGCAATGATATTACAAATCATTACAACTTCTTGAGTACGATGCCTTTCCAGAAAAAACAAACAAAAACAGATGAATAATTATACTGAGTTTTCATTTAGAAAAGTAATTTTTACAAAA